TTGGTCGCTTTTGATTGCAAGGAGTGCTCATCTCACTTTAATTTGCTTGACATATAGTTGCTCATCAGTTGTTCACAGTTGCTGGCTAGTTGCCAAAGATCAGATTTATGGGGGCTTAGATTCAAGTATTTTCTCTTGGTGAAATGTGAACCTTCCAACCAAGAATAGAACCACAATAAAAGAGAAAATTATAACAATAATACAAAATATAAAATCTAATAGTTATTTGGTATCAGAACAGCGCTGTTGTCAGCTCCTAATTACCTCCACTGGTTTGAATTCCTATGTGGCCAAACAATGGTCTAAAAAATCATGTGTTCCCCCATATTTATTGTTATTTAAAAAAAAAACATACCTGAAGATAATTTCCTATGTAGAATACTTGGGTCTTGAGTGTTCAAAATAATTTTTTTATATTTTGTACATTGAACCAGGGGAAAATAAATGTTGAATAAATTGGTGCATATTTTAGTCTAAAGTTTGCCATTGATTATGATCCAATAACTAAAATTTTATTTAAAGAGATGCGTGCAAAAGTTTAAAGCGTGTGTTTATTTGTTTACAATAAAATATAGATAATCCTATGGCTACATCCATAGGATTTGATGATTTTTTTTTTTTTTTTTTTAACAACTACAATAGTAAATTAACTTTTGATAAATGAATATAGCAATTGAGATAGGAAGGAGATCATGTAAGCAGGTGGATTTATGTTGGAGTGTTGTAAATGTTAGAAGGGTTTTACTTACATGGTAATCATATTTTTATAGTTCAAGGCCTTTAAATTACATGCAGCAAAAAGAATATTTTCTTATGATCTGTTTTCAGTAGCATAGGTAGTCGGGAAGGCTCAGGTCACCTACGAGAGAGGTGGGGGGGTGGACAGGGATAGGAAACAGCCTCTTAAAGAGATGCAGGCAAAAGTTTAAAGCGTGTGTTTTTTTGTTTACAATAAAATATAGATAATCCTATGGCTACATCCATAGGATTTGATGGGTTTTTTTTTTTAACAACTACAATAGTAAATAGAGATAGGAAGGAGATCATGTAAGCAGGTGGATTTATGTTGGAGTGTTGTAAATGTTAGAAGGGTTTTACTTACATGGTAATCATATTTTTATAGTTCAAGGCCTTTAAATTACATGCAGCAAAAAGAATATTTTCTTATGATCTGTTTTCAGTAGCATAGGTAGTCGGGAAGGCTCAGGTCACCTACGAGAGAGGTGGGGGGGTGGACAGGGATAGGAAACAGCCTCTGCACAAAGCAGGACTGAGGAGCCTACAGTATCTTTGATGGCTTATGTGAAAATAAGTTACTGTATTTATTTAATTAGCTTATGTGAAAATAAACTACAGCTGTATTCATTAAATTTTTTTTTTGTGGCAGTGATCAATTAAACAGCATCCTGGCCTGAGAGAAGGTCACCAAAACATAAACTTTGAGAGCCGCTTCCAACCAGCATAATTGGTAAACATTTGAAATGTTGTCTCAACATGTACAATTTCTTTAGTTAATCAGAGCAATTTCTTAATAACAAAATTCTTAATTTTTAAAATGTCAACGTACACATCAAGGAACATAACATAGTATAACATTAATGTTTATCTTATTTTATCGATAATTGAAACCTAGCTTTGTTCACTTCATTTCCAGATGACAACTGGTTTAACATCAACAGGCAAAAAAATAACTGACTCAAAAAAGATTTTGTACTATGATCATACTAACCTACAGTAGCATCTGCTGTGTAAACAACACAGCAATTATTGACAAGTTCAGATTGGCCTAGATTTCCAGCAATGAAAACCTAGTGTTTTATTAAGGACAGTGGCTATTGTTACACTAGACTTAAACAAATTCTTAATTCTCATTGGATGATATTGTCCTAATCCAATCCATACATAAAATATCATCCAATCAGAATTAGGAATTCATTTCAGACTGGTGCAGTTGTATTTTCAGTAATTTTCTATATAAAATCGAATTCAACATCAAAAATATATAATTGAAAAGTGAATTACCTTACCTATAAACAAGGCTACTGAAACCAAAGCTGAAACATATTAGCTGTGAGTCTACTAATTTTTATTGGATTATTAAGAAATCATTTTTCAATTAAATATTATATGAAACCACATAAAATTATTTGAGAATCAAAATTATATTTACCACAATTTGTTAGCTAAACAAGACTTACTATTGTAACTTAGATTTGTTTCTTTTTTGTAGTTACTCTGGCAAATTTATATTTAGATTGCTGAAACTTCAAAAGAAGCTTCTGGGAAAACTGGGACATTCAATAGGTGTACATTTCTACAGTTGAAGCTCTAGTGTAAAAATTTGAGAATATTTTCACGTTTTTAGGTGCGGTATGATATACAGTTATAGCATCAATTACAATCCCACAAGGCTGTACTTCAAACAAGCCCTCTGTTTATGGCATGTGTTAAAAAATGTTTTTTCACCTGCAATATCAAAATTTTGCTTGTTCGCCAATTTTGTTTTGTAGTGCATATTATACTGAACTGTATTTGAAACTGGACTACAATAAGTCTACTTCAGTTTTAATTGATTAAGTGGTTCAACGGATTTTAATACCTTATTTCTAATGTATCTTTCATTGGAATTATGCTGTCACATGTGTAAGCTTGGGGTTAGAAATTCACACAATAAAAAGAAAGTGTCTGTGGTGAGATTTGTGAGGTATGAATCTGTAAGCTAGACAAATTTAAAAGATACAATTTAAAGTGACAGATTCTAGAACGATAACTCTTCTTGTTGTCCTTGCTGAATTTTAAAGTAGATATTCAAGTTCATTTCATCACTGATGATGTTTCAGAGATCGCTTGTTTTGAATTTCTAATATTCCTTTATACCAGCATAATTTTACAATCTGAACTTTCTTGCTATTTCTCAAAGGATATAAGGTTGCCATAATATGCATAATTAAATCCATCCTGGGTTATATGATGTCTCAGATGTTATATCAGATTTTGTATAAGGTATATATCTATTTCCAAAAGCTAATTTACTAGTGCATGCGTAGGTATGTTTTATTATAAGACAGCAGTGATGAAATACAGTTGCTAACTTATACACTCCTAAAAAGTGCAGGGCCGTAGCCACAAGTATTGGAGTGATTAGGTTGCAAGCGAAGCGAGCAATGAGTCTAAAGCCAGTGGCCTGGTGGAAAAATTTGCTATTTTTACATTGTATAGATAGACTTTAATGATGTTTTGAATCTGTAGTAGCAATCTTTTAAACATACAAATATTTTTTTTAAAATATGTTTTAAACTACCATCAGGGTTATGGTGAAACAAAACAATACAAACGCTTTAAATTTAAGACAGGCATGTTTATTCAAGAGAAAGATGGTTACTCACAGCATTGTTGTTATTTTGGTATTTTGGCTTTTCACCTTGACAAATTTGTGGATTATGGTTTTACAAAAATGATCATTAGTGGAGAAGACATGGAACATTTGAAAGGTGTGATGAAAGAACAGTAGTGGATGGATTTCTTGACCCAAACTCAAGCTCTCATTGAGAAAACTATTACCTCACAGCAAGCGTCATCCTGAAATGTAACCCTTTAGCCTAGACAAGGCAGGAATTGCCACCTATTTCTGTCAATATTCAATAATACAATGAGTTCTTCAAGATTACTTGAAATCTTTACATATGTTTATAGCTTGAGTATTGATGTTTTGAAATTTATAGTAATCCCATAATCAGAAAAGATCATAAAATAGGAAGACAAATGGGTTTTATCAGTGGAGTTATTGTTGCCTTGTGCACTTGGATAGTGCTATCCTGTGGCGAACAATTTGTTTCTGGATACTCATTAGTCTGTGTCTCACTATAATATCCCAGCACTTTACTACATGTTGAGAATTGTATTTAAATACGCCTACTACATTTAGCTAAATGTCTGCAATCCCATTAAAAAATTGAATGACCCAGTCCTGCTCTTTGGGCCAGTAGTTTCTCCAATCAGGAGTGTTAGAATGCATTGTATGTGTACCATAATATATTGTCAACTGTGTTTAAACTCTGGTCTTAATGATCAGCCCCTTAAGAACAACCAATATCATTTTTGCTGCAGTGAGGGACTCACTATACACTGATATATCGACTTCTATTCTATCCTGACGTGCTAACTTCCCTGCTGGCTTCTAATATCAGACAGTATTCACATGGACCTAAGTACTATAAATTAATTTTCAGTGTCATGGTGCATTAACCGATATAAATTTAAAATTGCCAATGGAAACTTCCTAAATTGAGAAACCTATGTAGCAAGGCCAAATTAATACATACTGTAATTACAGTTTGATTACTAATTGCTTATAAAATAAAATGAATATCAATGAAATTTCAACTTATATTACTGCAATAATTAAATATGTAATTTATTAATGCATATTATGTAATCCATATAAAAAATTGTGGTGGTGTAATCTGAGAAAATTTTAATGCGTCTTACCCAAGGACACAAGCAAGAATGGCATCGGCAGGCCTCGAATACGGGCGCTATCACACCAAAGTCCACTACATACAGTACTATTTGTCTCCGCCCCTACTATATCACATTACCACTTGATTCTATTATTCTACCTTTTATAGTACATTTGCAACTACTATATTATGGCCAACAGTTGCCCAACCCTGACTAACCCATAATATTTAATAAATTATCGTTGGCTTTTTCTTCCTTTTTTTTTGCACACAATAATAATGTTCAAAATAAAGATACAGTACCAGCAAATGTATAAATATATATGTATTTTAATATATATATATTTTTTTTAAAATTTGTAGTTAAGTTTTTGCTCTCTTTGTTATTTTCTGCTTTTAAAATGTTTTTGTAGATAAGAACTGAACCACTTTGGAAATCAGTACTATGTATTGAAAGTGTTTATTCAGTATAAAGAAAGAATAAATAAATAAATAAATAAATATAAATGTAACCTTTTTCTTTGATTTTTGTTTTCATAGCATGCTGATTGCTGAATTGATGTTAAATGTTTGCCAGCTTTTCTCTGGTCATAAGGATTTGCTTTGTGGGTTTTCCACCTTCTTGCCATCTGGACATTCCATCACGATTCAAAACAATGATCCACAGCTTGTACGAGTACGTCTACCTCAGTCTAACGGAATGACACTAGACCGGTTGAAAGAACATGTAAACGCCACTCAGGTAAGATCACCAGCTTATTCTTGTTCCTATTTTAAAAGACAAAATACCGTTTGTTAATTTTGTTGTCGTGTGTTGTAATAAGCGAAGCACAGGTGGGGAAATATGCAGCCTATGGACCACATGTGGCCAAACTGCAATATTGTTGCGGTCCACAAAAATAAATGAAAACCCCTCTGTGTGTGACCGGCTTACTATCTGCAGTTAGAAAACCCATAGAAAGCCCCTTGTTATGATTAAATTTGCATAAAGCAATATAATACAGTGCATGAATGTATTTTACACACTGGAAACAATATATTTTCACATTAAAACATCTAAATCTGCATGCATCAAGTGTTGAATCCAATATTCACTTCACCTCTCATGACCCATTTTTATAGCCACTCTAGAAGTAAACAATCTTTCATTTTCAGATTTCTCTATAAAAATGTACAAAATATAGAAAATTGTTACATAATAAACATATCATACCATACTTAAATGCTCATAGAACTCATCCAGGTAGCAAGACTTCTATGCATGACTTCACAACAAGCTGATTCCATAACTATTAATCATTCTGTTCATAAAACCATAGCAAGTTTTTCTATAATATTCATTAAAAAGATGGAACATTTTTGTCACAAACATCTGGCTGGCACTAAACTGTCTTAGAAGCCCAATTAATTTTCTAAAAGCATTATTGTAATGCACACCTGCTGTAGTTCTCTAATATTTACCTATATGAACTTAGCCCAGAAACTATTTTAGATTTTTCGTTTAATTATTGAATGAATTTTTAGAATTTTAAAAAATATTTCTTAATATTTAGATCAATTTTTTACTGACTTTACTTTATTAACATTCACCATTTATATGTATATATTTATAACTCAACGAGTGGTGCATCATTTGAAAATACAAATAGAATAAAAGGAAATTGATTTACAAAAATTGAAATACTTTTAAGAGACAATTTCCTAATATGGTTTTTAATTTTTTATTTTGGAAATCTCAGAGCTATCTGGTAATTAAGAATGTCAAGACAATACAAACTACTTCAGTTTGATACAAATATATTGTTTTTAAACAAATTTAATTTTGACTAGCTCCACTTTAGTTTAATAAATCGCACATACCGCTCACTAAAATCTGTTTCTAAAAATCTGGCATGTTTCTAAAACATTTTCAATCACTCTTGTAGCAGTGCCTTTTCCTCATCTTATCTCCACAATTGGAACAATATTCCACTAATTAAAAGAGAAACACAATCCTTGGACACATTTAAGTTGCTATTTAAAACCCATTTATTCTAACAAATAATTGTACAATAATTTGTCTTGATTTTCTGTATATCGGAATGGCTGCTTTGTCTTTTGGGGCCATTATATCTTGGTAGCAGACTCTGAGCACCCGGTCGCCTTTGGCAGGGCAAATTTGAAACTTGCTCCTTTGTTCGCACAGAGGTGGATGGTTGGCCCTTTGAGAACTAGCCCTGTTTGCAACCACACCTAATTATATTGTTGTTAAGTCATCATGCTTTTTGGTTTATAATTTGATTGATGTAAAGTGCATTTATTCACTGTCAATATGCTCTATATAAATGTAAATTATTATTATGAAGACTTTTCATTTTATTAAAGGTCAAGATTTTTTTAACAAAATTAGCATATTCAAAGCTAGATTTTTTCCTTTGCAATGGTCGCTTGAAGGAATAATATGGTTTTGTTGTGCTTCCAAATTAGAGTCAAGTATTTGATAAATTATTACAGAAAATGCTTGTAGGAGTTACTTAGCTTGCTAATCGGCACAGTTTGTATAACATAGAATCTGTGTCATAGCCTCATGTTGAACCGTTCTTTAGCTTCCAGCAAGACCTGAAGGCTACATCCATCTGACAGTGATGGTGAGCTAAAAAAGAGAGAAGTAGATGCACAGATAAATATTAAAGAGAAAGTTAGCAGATGCTGACAGATAAAGCTTATAAATAAACTACATAGAATTAAAATAAATGGAGATATTGCACAAAAGATAGAAAAAGAAAATATGAAGTGCATTCTAGGTCAATGGTTGCAAACCTTTTTAATAATCTTAACAGACCCCATTTTACATGTTTAATAATACTACTGCTAGGACCCCTTGGTACAACAGGCAGTTGACACAAACAGCAACCCCTTTTTCACTAATTTTCAAATCAGTGGGTGTGCAACGAGTGGTCCACCAGTCTTGGGGTGTGTTTCTGCTGAATAACGCCAAAAACACATGTTTTTTATAAACGGTTAAATTCCTTCTGAACGCGTTTCTAGTGAAAATTGCAACTAATAAAAGCACTGCTTGCATATCCATCCATTTTACTTTCTTTTGACAATTTTTTAGCTTAGTAAAATTACGACCTGCAATTAGCCTTCGTTCATTGTTTGTGTAAATACAATAAATAAAAGTTCTGATTAATACTCCATAAAACCCTTCATGCAATTGTAACATACTGTAAATCTAAATCTTTTTGTACTTTAATGTTTTATTTTAACACAATTTTATATATTTTTATAATCATTTGTGTAAAATTAAATGCAATCCGCTCTGAATTTCTTTTTTGGACAATAAAACGTGAATTGAATTGAATGTGATATTTACGATTTACTGTAGCAGAAATAGCATCCATAAACTGTGAATACTAATCTTAATAACATCTTTATTTTTTTTTAACAGAAGTTGTTTTTAATTTATAGTGTTTGTTAGTTGTGAAACAGTGACTTGACCAAACATGATCCTTAGGCTATAATTAATTTTAACCTATTTAAATTCAATGTTTCCTTATATTTACTATGAAAAAATTTTCCGTATTATCGCCCTGAGAATTACTTCAATGTTGCTTGTGTTGTTTATAATTTGCCAACAGCTTACAAAATTAATAAAGTAAGACAACTATTCCATGTTTAATCAGTTTAATATTCCTTTATTTATTTAATTATGTTATTTATTTACTTATTTTATTCATTCATATCAATTTGTAGATTTGTGTCTATTTTTTTTCTGTATTTAAGTGGCGATTATTGTATGATGTTTATTTATTAACAAGGGCTCCTGAACATCAGCCTCCGTTTGGGGAAATTCGAAGGGTTACCTTCTGTAAACATTTTTGAAATAAAAATTAAAACAAAATTCCCACTTTTAAAACTTAACAAACGTTCAACATCTACAAGATAGCCCAGAATGAAAAGAATTCCTTACACTCCCACCTCCCTTCCTGTCGCCTGTGCAATATATCTCTTCTCAACTCCCACAATAATGCCTTCCTGCCTATCCCTTGTCGCAAATCCTGCTATGAAACATTGTTCCTTCCATATAAAGTATTATTACAGTATTACGTCACGATACCATGTGATATTACTCTGTTGCTATCGTTGCAAAATGAGTTCAACCGGATGCCATTTTCTCCACTGACAAACCATTTATCTCAATTTCTAACCCCTTTCTAACGTAATTATTAAGATGTTATATCTTAGTTTTTCTTTGTAAATTTTAATTGATGATTAAATGTGTGTTCGATAACTTATAATGCGAGCTTTTGTGTTTTTAGTACATTTTTATGGTAAAATATTAGATTTTAAAATGCCTATTCCAGAAAGCCTATGAAGTCATTCAGGCATAATGAACGGTAACCAACATCTGGTTGGCAACAGAGGGCGCTACCTGGTGTTGTGACGACACGGCTGTGGTACTCTATTCCCTTAACCTTGCATACTCCCTGTCTATTGACCCTTCCACAATCTCCTCTTCACTTTAAAAAGCAAGTTCTCAACATGCAGACCAAAGTCTCATTTTTACAATATTCATTCCTATCTTGAAGAATTGTACTATAATTTTTTTGTACTTGGTATTGGATTGTAATGTTAGGTTTGCAGTGAATAATGGCCCTTGATGGCATACTGAAGCAATATTTTAAATTGAATTGAATTGAATCAAGTACTGTAAGAAAGTTCTGTGCCTCTTCGATCTACTGTCTAATAATGTACCACAGGACATAGGCCTAGGTCTTCTATATCTACATCTGTGACTCAATGTTGTACTGTGCTCGTAATTACCTGTAGTGTAGTATAGAGGCAAGTTAACTGAATAATTGAATGTTTTGATTCTCATCGATTACAATTATACAGCTATTGCACGATATTCCCAGTGGCGCACACTATTTTAAGTGTGGCATTGGTTGTAAACTTTCACCATGCAGACACGTTACACTTTATTATAATCTGCAGAAGTTGTAAACAATGGAAAATGTGTCAATCATAGCAAGAATGTTTCTATGTTGATTATATTTTTCATTTTACCAACGGGGAAGTAATTTACATTACATAATTATTAGTGGAAGATGATTTTTTTTAATACCCTTGTCTGTAATACTAAACTCTTTAAAAAGCTTAATTTAGGCAATAAATATATTTTGTTGATTTACATTTTCTAGTGTTGTATGGTGTTTTTCAGTATGGTGTAGGTAATAAAAAGAAAAGGCAACCAACCTGATATGATTTATCCCAATGCAATGTGATTTAAAGTATTATGCAACATATATTTCGTCATTAATTCAGATATAGTATCAGAAGACAAACTATTATTTCTTTTATATTTGTGAGCAATGTAAAAGTCACTTTAAGCAGATTTATCCCTTGATGACATGTTGATGTTGATTAAAGGGTAAGGGTAGGAGAATAAAGAGGTGCTTTAGTAGCTACTGTTCATGTTCACATCATTCCATAATGACAACTGTACTGAACTGTATTGAATTCCACTACTACAGTATAGATTTCTAGTTCATTCAGTACATTCAATAATCACACAATTTATGGAACCCACATGGCTGTACTATGAGTAGGAGGTTAGTAGAAAATAATTAGATTTTCCAAAATAAGATAATTTCATGGGATTAAAGTCTCATGTTGCTGTGTTCCAAACAATCAGAAAGACATGAAATGCGATTAGAAAATTAGTTGCAGCACTAGCATTGGGGGGGGGGGCCTTCGAAA